CGGTATACGCGATTGTACGCTGTATACTATCCGATATGTGCATGTAGACGCCTAACTTCGTACGTACGTACATGCAAACATGCATATATGCGATGGGCAAGGTCGGTACGACTCAGTACGCGAGAAGCGCGTTTGTTGCTCGTATCTGTTCATCATCGGGCGACTCTCGTATCAAATCCCGGGCAAAAGAGCAAGTTAACTTTCTCTCTTCCTCTCGATATGTCTGTTTACTGTCAGACCATTATCTCCTCACTGCTTTCTACTATTTATATCTCTAATGATTTTGCTTGCACAGCAAAGAATGGGATTATTTTAGTTTTGAAATCGTTGCCTTTTATATTTGAATTATAGTAATAGTCGAAAATGAAAATGTGAAATGAAGAAGCTTAAATCAAAGAATTGAAGGATTTAAAAATGACTAATTTGTGTGTTGAAAAACCATAAAGAGTATTTTATTAGTAAAATGTATTGTTAGTTTAGTTTTGCTTGAAACAATTTTTCACAAGATTCCAAAAATTACGATAATTACACATAAATAATTTTATACGTTTGCATTACTATTATTGACGATTTATTTCTATTACTTAATAAAAATTCGTAGCTAAAAGCTGTATAGGTACTAGATAATTATTCACGCACTGGATAAACTAAAAAAAAAGAAAGAAAAGGAGGAAGCAACAACGACGACACGATTGATTCATCGACATTCACGATTGTCCTCTCCACGTGCAATACGCATTCGGCTATACACGTTCGTGAATTATGGCGGCCGCTACGTTGCGTCCACCAACAGGAAGAGAAGTACACGAGAGAATCGAAGAGAATGACGCCGAGTCGAGTCGCGAATCGCTACGAGGGGGATGAAGAAGAGAGAAACTGCGACAAGGGCTGCTGACAGGCAGTGACGGGTACCACTTTATCCACGACACGATTCTGCGCTTACCACAGCCCACGAGTTTACCATCACCGTCGTCAATGCCGCCCACGACCGATCTGATCTGATCTTATCTTAGTCACCCTGATCCACCATCCACTTTCTATCCGCCATACCTTTCTTCGTTTACTATCTTACTTGATCTCATAGCCCTTCGCGCCTTCCGCACGAGGTTTTCCTTACCTCCGCTTCTCTTGCTCTTGTTTTCCTCCAATATCCACAACACGGATATCCGAGATGACTTCTTGGTATAGTATACCAAAAGCACCCTTTCACCCTCGCGAAGCTTAAACGACGAGGCTCGGTGAATCTAAAAATGTCTATTTATTCTATGTCCGTGCAGATTGTAAAGATACTCTCTATCTTGACCCTCGGTTGTCACCCGGGGTCAAAATGACCCCAATCAATTTTCAAATAGCTGCATGCTGTTCAAAAACTGACAGAGTTTAAGTGGACCGCAAAAAATTCTAGAATTAAGTTTAAACATTGTAGAATATATTCTTATTATAAAAAAATTTAACTTTTGAGTGGCATAATGTTCAAAAAAATCCTTTAAAAAATGTTCAAAAAAGAGGTGTGACAACCGAGGGTTAAATTCGTTTCTGTATAATGTACGTTTTGTGTAATGTACGTTGCTTGTTATGTTGCGCTTACTTGTCGTGTTTTTTTTCTTTCTATACTTATTCGCTTTCGCTAAGAAATAAAAGTTAGCTTTTCCACATCCCCTGCCGAACTAAATAGGTACGAGCTTTCGGCGGAGGGCTTTACGACAACGGAGAGACGTCTATATATTTGGAAATTTTACGTTGGCAAGGGGAGTGCGCTACTCCTACAAATCGAACCCCCTTATTTCGGTCATCCTGTCGAACGGTTCTCGATCCTTCCCTCACGCACACCTGCCTGTCATTCGGTACGAGAGTGCTTCCGATTTCGACGCCCTAAGGGAAATAATCCGTCGTTTCGCTTCCTGGATCACGTAGAAGACTGCGTATCCTTCGCGGAGTATTACGGATTTCTGTATTCCGACATGCATGTATATCGTGTAGTACATAGTACGTATCCATATGTATATCGACCGAATGTACATGTGTAAGTCTGGCTTCCCCTACGATGCGAAGCAGGCGCCGTGAGTGGAAGTCGTACGGCTCATCAGCGTCAACGTGCAAGTGCCTTGTTGTCTGAAATTGCGGCAACGAATTGCACGAAACTTTATCGATCGTCTCAATCTTGTGCAAGTTGAGCTTGTCTTCGACGGTTTCGCATTCTCGGCTGAGATTACGGGGCGAACTGTAAGTGACATCAGACGTATATTACAAAATCTCGTAGGGCAGTGCTAAATTGTACCTCGTAAAACAATGCGAAAGATGTACAATCAAAAGTCATTGTTCTATTAGGAAAGTAGAGAAAATTAACTTGAAATTACCATAAAGTTTAAAATTATAAAATAATAGTTACAATAATTATATATGTTTATGAATATGACTATAATATTCAATTCCTGATTTCGGTAAACTGGGAAATAAAAAAGCATGTATATGTTATGAAAATATATAAATAATAGAATAACGTATCTAAAGTAAATAATAGGGTAATGCACCTAACGTTTGGAACATAAAAAATAGTTATGTAAAGACACGTAGCTTTAGCTAACAATATGGCAACATGAGCCATCAATTGTCGATAATACCGCCGATAGATACTTGGCATGCATTATTTACTGGTTATCGACATGAATCGTATTCTGAATGAAAAGAGACTTAATGCAGCGAAACGTAGATTTGAAACTGTAGAAGAAAATATTACAGATGTAGGAACATATATACGCTAATATTCCCGTGTTCGTTGCAAGTTCAAATAAAACTATTAAGTGGGAATATCAGTCTATATAAAATGTAGAATGCAAATGTATATTGATATTTTGCATAGTGACTTTGGATTTACATACATCGCAGCAACACCTGGCATGCCATATTTCGGATCTCGGCTCGCGTAAAATATTATCGTGATACCATCTGCCACTTGCAACAGATACACGGAGAAAATATTTCGTTTATCCGTTTCATGCATACGGCACATGCATATGCACGCGAAAGCAATCTATTTGAGTAAAGTCGGGGATAATACATAAAAGTAATCTCCAACTGCGCTTTACGATTGTTTTTATTTATTTTATTTTGTTAATCAGTTTTCACTCTAATCGCGCGTTTGAAGGCACATCTGTTTTTCCCCCGTTTTTCGTAAACGAGTCTTGTGTGATCTATCAATGATTAAGATCATTATATTAATACGTATAATTATAATTTCATCTGATACTTATTGAAAGAAAGACGAACGAATTATTTTGACACAGTAAGACTTATTTGATTGTTATGAATGCACGTAGGAAATAACGTAATCGTCATCGTTTAAATGACGGAGTGTACCGAGCTCGAGGATCTCCACGCTGAATACTTGTCTTGTGGGGGCAAGTGCTTTTCGGATACATTTCAGCCTCGAATGGGCGTCGATAGACATCCTAACGATCACCCAAACGCAACTATAATTTCGGGTTTCTTTAATTAATATAAATAACCTCGGTGAGTTCTGATGTTCCTTGGGTCCAGACTGCGCGAAAGAACGGCCATCCCACCGCGTACAGTTCGACGAATTAACTCATTGCCCCTTCAGCGGGTTCCATGACTCGACTCGGCTCAATGTGGATGCACCCAGGTATACCTTCTTTTTCTTCGGGAAAAAAAGAACTCGCCGAGAATCTCCAAATTACCAACATTTATAAACCGGACTGAGCGTTCAGCTAACGCGAACTTTAGAATAACGGTTTGCAGGAGAGTCATCGTTTTTAATTGCCGTCCTCGCTCGCTCGTATTATCCGTTCCATTCAGCATCGAATTACGAATTATCGTATTCACCGCACGTTATTGGACGTTATTACTTTCGACTCAACGATTATAATTCGGGCGTGGTGTGTCTCGAGCGAATAAATTACAAAATAATTTATATATTTCTCGCACGTTTGATTAAAATACATCATGCTTTTGCGGAGATTGAAATTATGTATACTAAAATTAAATGGTTAATTAACGAAAGTAGTTATGGATAGAATCGTTGAAGGAGTAATAAGATATATAACATAGAAACAAAATAGCATCATTCAATATTTAATAAATACATTTTTTTATTTTCTTCTCTCTGCTTATAGTGTTTCATTAAAAATGCAGAATTGTACAATTGTAGTGTATAAATCACGATTACAGATCTTTAAAATTACGAACGGGCGAGAGTTTAATTAGTTTTGATGAGAAACACTCGGCACATAAAAGGAATCGTTAGCGCTTGAAATTCGCGGAAGAGTGTACCATTTCTATCCATCATGCTTATTGACGTAACATGTCTGCTTGCTCACTCATATCAACTTCCAACTCGTGGAAAGGTGCTCGACTTCCTTCGTGTAAACAATAATCCTACCGTGTAAACGCGAAAACGTAGGCCGCCCAAACCATCGTGCTCCGCGTGCTTCCTTGAGCAAGAAATAGCGCGGGATCGCGTTCTCGCTTTCATGAATTTTCTATACGCGCACCGGATGGATTAAAAATAACCGTAAAAGCGTTTTTGCGCGAAGATAGCTTGGGGAATCCTTCCTTGTTGAAAACAAATTTTGCGCCGCTGGCTTTATCCGTATATTGCTCAAGAGCAGAATATTAAAAACTATCTGGGATAATGTCTGTTCAGCATCTTTGCGTAACGCAGAGGAACAACAAAGGATCAAAATTTATTTATGGTGTCAGTAATACTTTTGATACTCTCACATTATGTCATATAATCGCATTTTCGAGAAAGATGCGCTAAAGATAAAAATAAAATAAAAGTTCCTTGTGTGTTCTTTCATTAAGAGAAGTGGTCCGAACAAATTAACAAATATCAGAAGTTAAATCGCATCCCCTATATATAGTGTACAATCTCTTTGAGCTATTTATCGTGTTTTTCTTTTCTAGATACAGTTTATTTTTTGCGCATTACTTTTATTCAATAGTTAAGAAAATACTTTCGAGCGATACGAAATCCACTCAACGGCCGACATTGATTAAAAAGAACAAACCAGGCTAAGAATATCTCGGCTTGCACTTCTCTCGGGACTTGAAACTGGAAAGTAGTTAAAGATTAGGGATAAACAGTATATATTAATGTATGTAGGAAGTTTGCTCGATACCTGTCGCAAAAGTTACGAAGTTACAAGCCTGCCCCTACCCACACTGGACAAAGTTTGTTGCTTGAGCAAAGAGGTTCGCAATCATTTATTAAAAGGTAGATCAGAGAAAACGAGCTAAAATTTCAAAGCTTCAAGAAGGTTGACTGAAGAGGCGGCGCAAACTGGAAAAAATACCAATATTAATGAGCAATAATGATGGAAATAGAAAATAATACACAAATCCTTAATTTAAAACTTTGAGATGTAGGTTAGTTTAATTTGTAAGTCCAATGAAAAAGTAGAAGAACTTTCTTAAATAACATAGCTCTTTCATCAGTCTCGGCCGTTTAAGACTTTCCATGGGATAAAAGATGAAAAGGTATTGACTTATGCCGTATTATGGTAAAATCTCTCCCAGTTATATAATATATTTCATTATTTTCGTATAACTAGCATGACAATATTCAAAAAAGCATGATACTGATGGCTTTTGCGCGATAAAGCATGTTAATTGTTCTTTTTATAAGATAATCAGCGTCATATGAAGCACACCACTTTCATGCTACTCGAACACAATATGCTAATCTCTGTAAAATTATTCTAATTAAATCAGCAGTATATTCCATCTTGTAACTGGCGCAAATTATTCCAGATTGCTCGTATAATAAATATTATGATTAGAATGCTATCTTGAAAGTATTTAAAGAAATCACGGAGAAATTCGCTCGTGAATTCAATAAACCTCCCATGAAAAAAATATGCATAGGTCAAAAATGTTCAATTATCGATTAAAAGCATTGCATTCTGGATAAGATACTATACATATACAGCGACAGCTTGCCTCTTCGCCGACCTAATTGCGGTTTCCTTCGTTCGCGAGTAGAGAGTATTGAATCCTAAGGCGATCAGGCATTGGGCGTGTGTATCGACGAGGATTATCTCGAACGCAGAGCAAGTCACAGGTACCGTATAACCGCGCGCCACGTCGGTGTACGGCTCTGCGCTCGGAATTTCCCGGATAATTTGGTCGGTGCGGCCCGCCAGCCTGTGATTTGCGAGCTCCCGATGGATAAAGACGACTCGTTGCGGACAGGAGAGCGCAGGAGGGTAAGAGAGCTGCGCGAGGACAAATGTTGCGAGACAAGGAGACAAGTAGGATGTCGCGATAACGGAGAGATAGAGAGAAAGAGAGACAGTGAGAGAAGGCACGCGGAGACTCGACAATTTGCCATCGAGTTTGCGAGCGACTTCCTGGCAGCCCGAAGGTCTGTCTCCTAGACGAAGGAGTACTACCTGGGTTAATCTATGTGAGAACCTAAGCAGCTGCCTCTGGTGGTGGTAGGAAGCCTGTCTGTCCTTCCCTTATTTCCTTATAGCCGATACGAAGAGAAACAACGGGCTTTCTCCACTACGTTTCTTGCCCTTAGCTCAATTACAGTTTATGCAGAATGCCCAGGTGTTTGTATATTATTACTACGAGTAATTTAGCATAAAATCAATAGCGTTGCCTTCTAGCATTTCTTCGAGGGAGGAACGCGAAAATTCGCTAGTAATTTATACACGGCGCTTATGCCTTTCTGGTAGGGACGTTCCCCCTAAAAATAGAATTCACCCCGCGGACATTGTAATTTCCGCGGCAGTATACCTCTAAGCATATGGCATATTTCGCGAGGAACCTCTTCTATCTGATAGGTGTAATTTTTTGCGCGCGTGGTTTCTTCTTTTCCTTTTTCAAAGTGTAATCGATATCGCGGCCTCGTTCTGACAAACGCTAACCATATCTCGTTTTTGCTTGTTTCAGGTAAGTGCAATTAGCCTATACCCGTTCAGCCGCGAGGCGCAGGGGAAGTACGCGTGAGTATGTCACTTTGATGAAATTTCAAAATGACTGCTACCGCGTCGATGTGATGGACGCTGGTGTCCTGACAGCCGACGGGACGAAGATGAAAGACGCGGTAGCTAACGCGAAGCGAGCAGCAGCCCGAAAGAGAGTGGCGCGAGACTAGTGTCCAAATTGGACGCCGGAATGACGAATCGTCGTGGCGTTCGTATGCGAAATTCAATTAGGTCGGGTTCACCGGTTAGTCCGCGGTTGCCTTCGAACGAGCCCCGCGAGAACGTACGCGTCGATTGCGTCCGCGATCTCCGTCGTCGTTAACCAACAATCCGCGACGGACCGGTACGACCCACACGGTTCATCGATTTCTAAACTCGATTTTTAGATATAATTGGTAAAGGATTGATTGACATATTCAGAAAATATAATGAGCGCACGTCACTGAATTATTTAGAATACAAAGCAGTCTTTTATATCTTCACATTTCGTTTGTGAAAAATCTAATAAATACCAACGAAATACTAATGAATTAAATTATCTCGAGAGATAAAAGGTAAAATACTATCCTATTATTTAATTATGGCAATAAATATTTTATAAAAAGAAAAGGAAAAAAAGTAAAATCAAATTAAAAGTGATTTATTATGAGTGACAGCAGTAGAACGTGTTTTACTTTTTTATGGAAAGTAATAATTAATTCTCTATTGAATTTTGTTTAACGATAAAATGTTTCTATTATTATTTTCGAGGGAAACTTGTCTTTCTCAGCGATTTTAATTTTTATTACAGTCTTTTTACGATTAATCTACTTTTACTGAATCGTATTTGTATGAACTTTTGACAATATATTCTGAATTCACTAGATAGTATCCAGAATTTCTTTCAATTTTGTATGACATTTTATACGAAGATACGTAATTGCATTCAAGATCTTCCATATTTCTATATTTCTACATTTTTATTTTTACAAAGTATTCGCGACAATATTATATTCGAATATTAAAAATCCTATTGTCAGATTTTTATATCTAAATTTTTTAACTTATAGCGAAAATATTATTTAGAAATATCAATGGCGCATAATAATAAGATTATTATTCGCAGTTTATGTAATCACGAATACAGCCTTTACTGGTAGCCGAGAGGACTCTCTGAATTGCTCGCTGAGCTTGATAGGGCACATGCGAATCATGAAGTAACTTCTAGGTTGAAAGTTTACACCAAATTCCTCCCTCTCACCCCTTCTCTCTTCATGAATTCTCGGCGTTTAAGGCGAGGTTAGCCATTGTGTGTCTTTCTATATGCAATTGTGGACATTCGGAGTAGTTCTACACGTACATGCAAAAATACATACTTATACTTGTAAAGCAACGCTTCTTCGTAACGGTAAAACATTGACCAGTTGACTCTCCATGACTGAAATTTCCGCGATATATAAATATATACACACATAATATCTGGAGTAGCTGGACTATCCACGTAGCAATATACGAGTAGTTTTCATGTGGCTAAACAGAATCAGGATATACTGCGGATGACACAATTGGGAACTCAAGCGCGTATAACCAAACGGGTTGTAGGGCTCTGAGCTAATTATTATATTCCCACAACAATGATCGTACATTAAAAACTAATATTGCTGACGGGAACTGGAAATTAATCATCGCTTGCCCAGACATATCTAGTGACCCACTGAGTCCCTGAGACACGGTCTAGGAATAACTTCTCAAACAACTATAGGTCTCCTACCGACCTTACGACCCGGGAGAATACGCATATGGTCGGTGCCATTGACGCGCATAAGTTTTTAATCATTTCGTCGACACGACCTTTGTCGTAAAAAATTGCAACTTTGTTTGCTCGTTAGAAGTCGTCAAGCTTTGAGACAAAGAAATTATTTCACGCATTAAAGACAAGTATTAACAGATTTGTCTTTTAAAATGCTCTATGGACATAATTCATTTATTTCTCTAAAATTGGCCAGAATTGTTCCGTAGCATTTTATTTGAAACATAAAATACAGAAACTCAGATAATATATTATATTACTCGCTGCAATTAGAAACGCTACTTCCTCTAGATTATATGGCAGATATAATTCGTGACTTCGTAATAAATTGGAAATGAAATATCTCCCGGTTGTTAAAACGCTCTTTGCCTACACCAATTGTAATTAGCAACTTCCGCGAGATTAAAATTCCTTCACGAATCAGTGAAGCGCCGTAAAATCGTCTGTAAACGCTGATTTCAACGGCGATCGCGCTGTGTCGCACCGTAATGACCGCGATAACCGATTATGGCTCTAAATTATGAAGGAAGTTTTAAACCGTCCCGCCTTCATTGGCAAACGCAATTAATTAACGAGGAGCCGCCCGTCTATGAATTATTCGACTCTCTTGTATCTATGTATAGCTGCACGCGTTCACAAACGAGAACGTCATTCGGGCCATCAAAACGTTGGAACTCGCGTAGCGAGAGACAAATGCCTCGTTGAAATATGTAAGCAAGAATCCGTTTCGACTAATGCGTCTGTCTTTCCCCTCTTGCTTCCTAATGCGTTTAGTTGACGAAAAACGTAACAAATTGCTGCCGCCGCGAACGCTGTCGACTCCATAAGAAAGCCCCATTTCTGGCATTGACAGCTGGATAATGTTGCAAGCCTCTTATGGCGATGCATTACGTCGCTTGATGGTAGTCGTGTCTGTATCCCGCGCACTAGTACTTGAATTGGTAATTGCAGCACGCGTCATTACGCACGGAGCTACTATTACGGTATTCTATCTGCGACAAAGTCAGGCATATTTTTAACGGTGAGGAAGTAGAAAGAAGTTTTCGGTAGCGAGACACAACTATTGCAAAATATGTTCGCATTATTAAACTGTTAACAACTGCGTTCTTTAAATTAAACTTTTCATCATTTTCAGCTCTCATTGCAATTTCTAACGCATGAAGAACCCCGCTATCGCGATACGAACGCGTTATTTCGGGAATGTTATTACAGCAAACTGAAACGTAATACGCAGCGCGTTTCCAAGTTCTAAAATCATTCACAATTATATCAAGAACTTTATTCCGCGTGCGACTTTCGCGACGACGTGATTTCCCTCGCGATATAGTCGCGTTCGACTCGTGCAAGGCGTCCGGGGAGGGACTTGATGCGGTACTTTAAAAGTACGTGGCACACTCCAACTACACCAACTACACGGTACGCCGCGACTCGCTATCGTTTCGTCTAAAGTGTCTCTCGCGATATCGATGAGAGAACGCGCCGCACGGAACATTGCATTGCGGTCTCGGGGAAGAAATTGCACTCCGAGAAATCCAATAGGTTGCGGATCGAATCGGTACTCGCGACCGTTTCAGAGAGCTTTATCTTCTCGACCTGGTCGCGCAGCTAAACGAGGCTAAACATAATCCGCAACGGGACGTATTCGTGGAGGAGGTGGCTGACGAGCAACGCGCGCGCTTATACGCTGTCCGGATTCCACCGTCGTCGTCCACTCCGTACGGCACGAATTTTTTTCTGCCCAGAGACTCAAAGGCAAAAGCTATTAACATCGTGACTTTTCTTTCGTTCAACGGCCAGAACTCATTACCACGTTGTATAAGAGTTCCGACAGTTTTCGAGGTAAAGTTGGATTAGAGGCTGGCAGCTCGTTAGCCGACCTTATCGATCGTTTCTCCTGGATACCATTGTGCACGGCGTATTAATTAAAAAATGAAAATCCAGAGCCCGTCCAACACACGAGGAGTTTTATAATCTCCAAGTTCCGTATCCTCTCTTGCACTCCTCCTCTCTCTCTCTCTCTTTCTTTCTTTCTCTCTCTCGTCCGGAAACGGCCGCGAAGTTAAATTACACTGGATCGCTTATCGATTTTCAATTTACTCTTGGGTATCAATAATTCAATGAACTCCGGAATACTACTTAAATGAAGCTAGCGAAGTCTCAATGGTTAGCCATAGTTTATCTTTTCATACCTCTTTTTCATAGTCAAGAGCATAAATTATGATCCGCTGTGAAAGATGTGACGGATGATGTTAGTCCGATCGATAGAATATTCTGAATGAGTCTAGATTCGAATACGCGTGCACAGAAACACCTTGGAGCCCGCATTCAACATAACTGTCGACAACCGTGAGAAGCAACATGTGCGATCTTACCAAATCATTATCGACGATGGCTCTAATCAAGCGTGGACAAGAGAGACTCGCGCCGTATTCGAATTACTAACAAATGTATGTTACAGACAGGTGAGGGTGTCGAGGTGACATCTCGCAATCACTCTGGTCCGCCAATTTATCGAAAGAAAGACTAATGGTTGCCGGAGGGTGACGCTTCGTGAAGTCTTTGGCGGGATGGAGAGAAAAAGGGGAAAGAGAAAGAGAGAAAGAGAGCGCGAGGAGACGACGGGACGAGGAAGGGCAATGACAGATACCAGCGTCGGAACCGATCGATCTGGAACGAAATAAAATATGCTCGCGAGAGCACGGGTGTAATTACGAGCGCCGAAGAAAAATACAGCGCGCCATTACCGGAGGGTTAAGTGAACCTGCCCTGATCGGCTTGTACGGAAAGGAGAAAAAGAGAAGGACGATAGAGGAAGGGGGTCAGCAGTGGGATACAGGGAGAAAGCGAGATAGAGGGAGAGAACGAGAGTGAGATAGACGGGGAGTGAAGGGGGCAGGGCAACGCGAGGTGAAGCCGGAGGAGAAGTATTACTCAGATAACTGAGACGTGGAACGAATGAACGAAGGGAACTTCGAAACGGGTAGGAACGAGTCGTAGGAGGTCGAACGAGGCGACGGGGAGTGCTCGCTCTCGCGGGGACCAAGGGTGGAAAGTACGGTTTGCGTGTTCGGGCGCAAGTTCGCCTTGGCTTCCGGTTGCTCGCATGCTACAAGTCCACTTGTATTAGGCTCGCCGTACGAATACGCCACACGCCCGCCCGCGGTTCGGACGTAGTCAGTCAACGGTACATGAACGCACGTGAAACACACACACATACTCGGGCATTTACGATCGAACGCACGAAAGCCGTTTCGGCCAGAACTCACCCCCGACGCGGAAGCTAATCGCCGGTTGAATTAATTCCAGAACTGAGAATGGCTTCTGCCGACACGCCGGCGCTTTACTATCGGGAAATGGAAAGATATCGGACTATCGAGTGCGACTAATGGCCACCGGAAATGCTAGATAGAGCGCGTGCATGCAAACGCGATTTCGATTGTGGCTTAGCGCGAGTACATAAAAGGTTCGAGGTCTTGCGTTTTGCTCAATTCATGTGACCCCGACCGACCCTGGGGCTCGGAGGTGAACTCTGATGTGGTTAGGGAAACTACCGTAGACTAGATACAATCGGTCGTTACAACTTTCGCGGGAAGGCATATAAAAGCCATTACACGCAGGCTAGATAATTTCTATTATTACGAGAGTCATGCTGAAGATAATAGAAAGTTGGTTTGATAAATGCCGAATATAATAACTCCATCTTAAACCCCACTTTAGATGATCCATTTGCGTCAGATTTTATAGAAAATTTTATGAATTCTATTTATAATTTTATACACCATGCATTTTAATACATATTTTTACATTTTAGCACACAAAAAGTTAGAAATAGAATTCTATTCTGCATTCCGACAGAAATTAAATATCGTCTAAAGTAGACTTTACACGTCATTCCAAATTAAGAGAGAGAAGATACACATATTTTAATTTTTTACGTAGAAAAACGTTTCCATGTATGATTCAACATTTCTTTTGTAATAAACGCGCTTCAAAAGCTATTCAAAAACACGCGTATTTTCTCTGTTCCTTAATTATCAGGCACAATATTTCATTCGCGCGACAGATCCAGCCTCGCGTTTCAATTAAAAATCCCTCCTGATACACGAGCAAGCTCCACCCGAACGGCAGTCAGAAATCAATGAAAAATTTTCAGGATTAATTTCGAGGAAAATGATGAAAACACCGTGGCCGCAACGCGCGCGCCGAATCAAAGTACTTTTTTGCGATTCCATATAGGGGTAGTTAAGTTAAATAATGAATGAGGATTGGCTAGCTGAGCCGGTCTGCTGGGGGTTCGGCTCGGTATACCGAGTTGCTTTGATGTCTGGCGGCAGCCGCCGATTATGGAATCAATTATTGCGCGGTACTCCCTCTTTCGTCCTCTCTAGCCTTTTCAATCCACTCTCGCACTCGTGGCTTCGGGCTTATTCGCCCGCGTTCTCTGCTCTCTTTATCTTCTCCCTACATTCCGCTTCCTCTCCCTCGCTCTCTCTCTACCTCTATTCCACTTCGTGACGGATGCGAAGGGAAAGATTTATTCCGTATAAAAAATTACACGGACAGAGAATCACGAAGGACCGATTCCGCGGAAGGTCAGCGGAGTGCGGACTCAGGTCTACCGTCTACCCATGTACATGAGGATACCGCTATTATCGTTCCATAACCTACGTCAATTACGCCCCCGACGACGGGCGGTACCGCGGAAATAGAACTTTAACCATCAGTACGTGCTTACCTCTCCCAGTTGCAACACTCGGAATTAATTATGAGATAAACCGCACGATTTTAATAGATACTTCGCGAATAATTATATCATCGCTAATATCATGAAAAATATTTCGTTATTTGCGAATCAAAATAGTTTTCTACTGTATTTTTTTATACTATCTTTATGTATTATCGCGTTTATTTAAATTATCGTGATTAATATAGAATATATTGCAATTCGTGAAATTTAATAATCTAATTTCTTTTATAATTAAACCGGTTGGAAGCATTGAGAAATGTCGAAACAAGTTATAAAAATTTATTATTTATTTATACCTTATTACAATATCACATGTCAAATACAAAAGATAACGTAGATGAACCACAAGTGTACCTTTTCTAGAAACATTTCTTTTTATACTTTCTCTTCCCGGAGTCTGTAATGGAAGGTATGGGATTAGTCGGCGTTACAAACATACATGCATATTAAAATATGTGTTAAAATATGCAAAAAGAGGCTTAGCCATCGTTGTTGCACGTCGCCTGCCAGTTGCGTGCGCTTTTTTTTCTATTGATTAGAAAAAAATAGATGGTCACCTCAAAGTTTTCTATCAATTAGAAAACTAAATTTAAAAAACTTTATTCAGTTAATAATAAGAAATAATTTGGAAAAGAGGATATTGCTTACTAACATTGACTCTTATTTTTTTTGCTCTCTTTGATGGAAATCACGTATCGTTGCGCTACATTCAGTGGTGGTGAATAGCCCGTCGTGTAGGCGGCGTCCTCGAACAGGACCAGGTACTCTTCCGTGGCGGTCGTCGGTAGACGTTGCACGACCGCTTTGTAAAAGCAAGTAGTTTGCGGGTACAGCGCCATTACTGTAGATCCTTTCGAGAACAGAGCGTGCGGATCGGTCTCGGGATTGGCCCTCATCAACGGCAACGGCACAACTCGTCTCCGCGACAACGTGTGACGTTCCTTCTGCTCCTCGTCGATATCGTCCACCTCGTATTTGTTTGTCGTGGGATTAAAGTGCAGGACCTCCGCGAGTATCCAGTTCTCCCCCTCCTCGTTGCCCTTCACCAGGGCGGCTACCATGTCTCCCGTTTTCGCGATGTACGTGGGCTCGGCGGGTATCGCGCCGCACAATGGTGGTGGTTTGTGGCCCGGTGTCTTTCCCACGTAGAGGGGCAGGGTCTGCGCGGTGCTCAGCAGCATCTTCATCAGTGCGCCGCGCCTGATGGTCTCCTTGTTGCCGGCTTGACGTGCCTGTATACGTAGGTCATTTCGTAACGTGCGGATCTCGTTGATCTTGTCGAGAGCCTTGCGCAGGATCTCCTCTTCCTGCTGGGTGTCGGTCACCGCGGCGTTGTACAGATTCTTCAACTTTTGCTGGTAGTAAGGGGAGACTTTGTCGTCCGGTGTGACCTTTTCGTGGGTCTTCATGATATTGTTTAGATTGTGCTCCGAGCGGACTCGCTGACTCTCAATCTCGTGTACGAGCTTGTAAATATTCTTCAAGAGCTCTTGTATCTGAGTCGCCGCCGCGTCCGCCGTGAGAGGCATCGCGTCGAGAGATATGAGAATTATAGGAGGTCGTGTGTGTCAACTGTAGTAAATAGTAACCTAACGACTTATGCTATCGATCGCTTTCCTGTAATGAAAAAGCATAAAACGCGCGTTTTAGGAACATTTCCTTAACGCACTTTTTTATTATCAATTTAAAATCAATTTAAAATTAATTAAAGTATCAATTTAAAATCAACTTAAAATTAATTAAAGTATCAATTTGAATATCATTAAATATCTTTTATTTTAAAAGTAACGTTCACAATATCTCACAATATTGAATACCGCAATAAAAAAAATTTTTTTAATTAGGTTAGAAATGATCGCTCTCGAACTCGTGTTTCTCAGGGACTCAGGGACGGCATGCTTCAGTCCAAGACCCAAGACTTCATTTGTACCACGTGTATATAACAGAATTACTATCTGAATGCAATTAGGAGTTCGATATTTCTTCAAAAACTTCCCGCGTCGTTCGGTTCGATGTTGATATAGCGCATGCAATCGCCGTTCATTTCCCGAACTCGTTCATCGAATTTTAGCGTGTACTACGTCCGCCAACAGCGCTCGTGATAAAATGGCCGAGAGTCGGCGCAGCACGACTGGATCAATACACTTACCCGGTCGGGAACTGAGTCACATCCGAGTAGACGGTTGCTCGACGAGTCTCCGAAGAACGAGGTTTCGGTCAAACGTTTCGATACACCGGTAGTTGTATCGCAGGGCTTCCTAGCACGAAGCTGCGAGAGGCACCGAGCGTTCACGAGATGTTATACGTTTGATCGTTCACGCGCATCTGCGCTGATCTGCGCCACACCGCACCGCTTCTCCCACTCCCACTATACCTTCTGGTTCTGGTCGCAGCAGTTTTCTATCAAGGCGATGCTGCCACCTGGTAGCGAGCTCTGAAAACAATGCATCAGTGATAGTGCTGACTGTCGCAGAGCTGGAGTCACTGGTATCTTGGGCCTTAGGCTTGCTCAATAAATTTATTAATCCTAGCTAGCCACACTTATTTTCGAATCCTTAATTCGCCACGCTTCGGTTCTTAAGACCGCTCGGCTTTGTCACATTGTCATTTTTATTCTAATTAATGTTTTTAAGCTTGTAATGTAGGAATTGGAAATACAGAGTCTGAATAAGATAATTTATAAAAATATCAGGTCAAAAAAATATTTTGAGTTTAAACTGAATTTATTATATAAGGAAACTAGAAAATTATGTTATGTGAAAACTAGGAAACCGAATAACGTTTAGTGGCCCACTGGACCGGAATGTGGCGAGCTAGAATTAATTGTCGATGTATAAAATATTTTTTTTACATCAGCGAACATTATTAATGTTATATGTTGATTATATTATACTGATGCAAAAAAACTGTTTGTTATTTTTTTCATCAAGCTTTGTATTAAATAAAAGAAATTAATATTGTTTGGAAAGAGAATTGAAAAGTGTCTCTTTATATTATATGAAAGAAAGAGCATACTGAAATCAATCGACAATTTTGCTTCATTCGCTGATGGCAATTCTTTCTTTTCGATCTAATGCGAGAGGCAAGTCATCTAATACTAAAATTTATGTAAGTGCTTTGGAGAAAATAATAATCTAACAAAATGCAGATAAATATTTAAGTGTCTGTACGTGCACAAGGATACACATTAATCTGTTAGACAAATTATCGAATTATCACGCTTTCTCGTTATAATTCGATCGCAACTTTCTCTACCTTTCTATTTATTACTGAAGTATATATTTAGAGTCTGTGAAAAGTAAAGTCGAATATGCAAATTATCAGTTATCGGTTTAAATATTCAGTATATGTTCTAAATATTTTTGTTATCTCAGGAAAGGTTTTCATAGCAAGAAATTTAATTAATGATTTAATCTTGAATATTTAATACCATGAATGAATTATCGGTTTAAATGTTCGGCATATGTTCTAAATGTTTTTGTTATCTTGATAGAAGAAGTTTCCATAGCAAGAAATTTAATTAATGAATCAATCCTGAATATTTAATGCTATAAATCACGGTGAATGGATTATCTTTTTTGTGTCTTTCTCAAGAATGTCTTTCATAGCGATTTGTACCGTGTCAGTGCTATTACTGCACTTGAATCATATTCGAGATATTTCATTAAACGTTCGATCGGACATTCCATTACTTGTGGGTTATGTGTGTGTGTGTATGCCAGTGATAAAGTCGTTTCAATATGCGAAAAATACGCCGTACGCTGATAATTTTTCTTTGAACGAACTCGTTCTTCGTAGATCCAATCGTATATCGTATCGCACAGACGGGCCTGGCTGCGGTACCAAGCGGAGGCATATATTGAATGTGGCGTGTATCATCGCTAACAACCAACAGGTTAACCGCGCTAACAGCATCGATAGCACCGCAGAATGCCATAACTCATTCGCGCCGAGGCATGCCGAGGCATGCCAAAGCTTGGGAAAACTGAATCTAATCTCTTGATTAAATTCATACTTCCGCGACGAGATTTCGCGTTATCGTACTTTGATAAACTTTAGTCATTCATTTGTACGAAGTTCTCCGTAATGAACAATTCGTCACAGTTTAAAGAAGCGAGTTGAAACTAGCACAATTATGAAAGAGAAATTATAACATGTGAAAATATCGTGTCGGAAAATAACGCAACTCGATATTTAACTATTTTTTTTAATTTGTAATTTGTAATTAGTAATTTTTTTAGTTTGACAACTGTTAAAATAATAATATAGTAATAAAGATTTTAGAGTATCTATACGACAGAGCGAACGTTACGAGATTGCGTGTCATAAAATTATTCGCCAATGTCGATCAATGCGATACATTTCAGTGGGCGCCGATCGAAGCATCCGTTTCGATAAATCGCGACGACCGGGATTTCGCCATGAAAACGTGTCGCGTCGTATCCAGATATGCGATCTCTTGGCATATCGCGGTGTGTTACGCAAGATGCATCGTGTGCACGTGCATCATCGCTAACGGCTGACTAGTCTAACCGTGCTCTAACCGATGGTCCCGATGCTGCTTGGTGTACAGGACCGTGCCATAACGCATCGCATGTAGAACTTGAGAGAATTCCGAGCCGCGTGGACCATTACCGCGTCTGCCATCGTTTCTCGAGCCTGTCTACGTGTTCGCTGTATCGTACACGTGCGCGGGTACACCTGCCGATATCTGGCCTCGCTGTGTGTAAACGTTATCCCGCGCGCTCTTACGAATAGAACGCCATGACCTATCCGCAATGAGATGCGTGTCACGCGTGCCACTGGCATGCACCTGTGCTGGTGCATGGTATACTGCATTGTCGAGAAATCGCAGACGATTCGGCGGCCTTGTTGTACGTCCCGAGAGTCTCACGCACACATCTGAATAATATATACGTGCGCATCATCGTGTCCTGCCTGAAAGTCGATTTCTCCATCTTAAGTGATTATGAAATGCGATAAAATAATTTAAAATCGCTACTGCCGATACCTCGATAGTTCTTGGTTACTTTAAGTAGTAATCTAACATAACTGGATTTGTTTAACTACGTGAGCAACTTAGTATAAATTTAATTTTAAAAATATGACTGTCGTAGCGTCGTTATTGATATGTTGATTTAAAGAAATTTTATTTGAAGATTTAAAGTATACAAATTTTATTTAAAGAAATAGAGTATATATAATACTATTAAATCGTAACGTCGCTGTAATTACTCCGACCATCCTCAGATTCGAGTATTCGTGCACTCTCTCGTTGAGTGGAAATCAAATTCTTTGTACACGTCTGGGTGCAGCCGCGAATGGACTATTAAAATGTGCTATAACGACGATGAGCTCAGCTCACGTTACTTCAGAATATTACATACATACATATGTACGTATGTAGGTACATTTTATAGAACAATGTGTCTAACGAGGCGTAAGGAGAGATCCTGGGTCTCGAGCAAAGTCCTCACGTCATTTCGCGCCCGTCGTCTAGACACCTATATTTTCACTGATACCTATGACTCTCATCACCGAATTCGCACAACTAACCCTGCGGCAAACTCCAAATCGCAATGCTTTGAGCACATGACAATTGGCAGACAGAGACAGAACAAACTTTACTTTTCGGACGGATAAGTTTTTAGCATTCTTCTCAATTATTATACTTTTACTGTCGATATTTCCACGTTTTGTAAAACATAAATCGCCAGTATAATGTTCTTTTTTTTTTAAGATACGACGTTGTGTACAATGCACGCACTGATGAAAAAAAGAAATCTCCAGACAAAAATTTATTATACAGTTGTGACGTTTACGTTCCGTTCGGTGTGTCCGGTAAGCAAATGTGATATAAGACAAAGCAAAATAATGCAGCGGAACTGGTGCGTGTATATATAGGTATGGATATGCGCATAAATCGATCGTGCGTAGCGAACGGCTGATTCGACGGTGGCTCGCGCAATTCGATCTTCATCTAATATCGGCGCTTTACGACGCACGAGTTAACGACTTGTTGCAGTCGTTAATCCGGCTACAATGCCGGATACCGGCGCGCATAAACGATATTTCAAACGGATCCTCCGTAAGGCGCGGAATGAAAATGTCAAACGCAGCTACGTTACCGTTGACGCGAACGGGAAACAGGAGCCTCCAAGGAAAGCCGGGATGGAAAGTTCGACTCGTAAACGCAATTTATACGCGGAGATTCGATATCTCGTGACTGTCACATATGTTTGTCTTTTTGTTTCTATTAGGTTGTTTGTCAAATCGTTTAGTAGAGGCAGGATGATTTCGCCAACCGACAGTCTTCGCATAAAACTGCAAAGTAAATTGTAAACAAATAAACGTAGATACCAACTTTTCTAAGCTCACATTTTACTTTCGGGACTTTATCACAAGTAATTAGTTATTATACACGCAAAATATTATTAGCAAGTGACAAGTAAAAAGTGGCTTTGAGAGTTCAACGCGGTCTCGGTGCGTAAATTAACGTTATATCGATCTTTAATAACTAATAGGATAGATAATTATATAATAATTACTATAGGATACATAATTGTAAATTGGACGTTTTGGCTCCACTTTAAGCCGTCTTCTCAGATGTGTTATATTAACAATTAAATCAAAATAATCTCACGTTTTCCGAGAAATAAATGAGTAACTTCAAAATTAACAAAACTCATCTTCAAAATTATTTCTCACCGGAGATCATTTTGATTTAATTGTTACCGCATCGCTGAAGATGATTAAAAGCGGAGTCAAAACATTCAATTTATAATTATGTATCCTATTAGTTATTAAAAATAACGTTAACTTACGCATCATCCAATCGTTTGAACTCTCAAAACCTCTTTTTACTTGTTGCTCAATAATTCCATTATCGAGAGTCCCTTGTTATTTATCCAATTATCAAAATATTATTAACATGATGCATAGCATATATCTCTAATTTGTAATATTTGTATCATATGTTTTATATTTATATAACATAACATACATGTAATGCTACTGCAATAAAAAGCTAAAATATATTAATATTTATACAACTTTGTACATCTATTTTTGCGAAGAGTAAAATATGAAAGATAAAAGAGTAAAATATTAAAGATAAAAGATAATAAAAACGGAAAATTTTTCTCCAACGTTCGTTTATCGCAATATGCACAGTATTTTTATTGATTATCGAGGAAATAATAAGAAATACATACGTGCGCTGTAAATTACTGTCATTTACTATTCGCCGCATGATGATGAGAAAACCGTCCTTCCTACATCGCAGCTTTATCATTTATCATCTGAATCTCAAAATCTCGGGTACTTGCAACTCGTGCGTTCGCGTAAAAGAGTCATGGCGGTCT